TATCGATACCGTGCTCTAGGAAGCATGGTTACAGCCATAGGTAACTCGGACGGGTGAAGATGTCAAAGCCAGAATCCGAAAGCAAGATATGCCTTCATCAACCTGAAACCAGTTTGGAAATCTTCTGCAATTAGCCATCATAAACAACAAGATTCGGATTTTCAGTAGAAATGTTAAGTCATTCAATTCTTCTATACGCGTTAGAAAAGGATTTCCAACAAGTTACGGACCTTTATTAGCAGCTACCTTCAATGGCTCCATAATGAAGATAAAATGATCAGAAAGAATTAGCAACAAGAAACTCTGGTTGTCAACAAACCCACCAAGAAGCGATTGCTCAATAAATACGTAAGAGGAAATGGCGATGCGTCGAGGATTTATCGGGGAGATAGTCGAATGACATTGCATACAATGCAGGCCATCGCTCAAGTTGAATCCAATAAGAAGCGTCGAGTGGGTCGTCGGTGACAGAGTGACATGGAGGAGATCGTGTGGCGAGAAGGAGGAGGAGATGAGAGATTATGGCCAATCGTGGACCCGGATGAACAGGATATCAAAGAATAGAACAAAGTGGAGATGTGTTGTTGAAGCCCTATGTTCCACTCGGAAACCAAGGGAACAATAATAACAGTCAAATCTCCTGAATTCAGTCGTTATAATAATAAGTGAAGAGGTGATTACAATAAAACCTCATAAGTGTCCGCTATAATTTTCGTGATTTGAAGAAACGACTGAAAAAGTGGATGAATCCGTTTGATTCGTGTTTTTGTAGTCGTCTTCACCATCAACTATACATACTTTTCCGTTAATTCATTCATGTAACAAGAGCTTAAGTTCGTGAGTGTTTTTAAAAAAAATTCCATTACGGATTGATATCAGTTAGACAAATATTGAAAACTGAAGATTAATTTGGGACTTTTCAACAGTAATTAACCATGACCTCATCAGGGATCAAAACCAGGAGCTTCAGGTCATGAGGCGAGCTTCTGGACAATTCAACCACTGAGACCAAATCTAATGACACGTGAATTCTAACTTTCAATAATTCTTTATATTCTTAGAAAGAAGCAATCAATCTAGGTTTACCACTAATTAACATTTAAGAGATTTTCAAGAGTTGTTTTGTAAGGATTAGAGTTATTTTTTTGCGAGTTTGACCACGGATTGATATCAGTTAGAGAACCATTGAAATCAGATATAATCCTAACAAATCAACTATAGAAAATTATTATGATGTTCGCTAGTGACTTGCTACACGACGGAATTTCGTGGAGTTCTGGTGAGAAGTCGTGACCAGTGAGGTCCATCCAGTCAGGTGTGGGGATGGATGTCCCACAGATAACATTGGTTGGTGGTCGCGCTAAATCACGAATTGGTAGAAGTTAGAATTCATGAGCTGGCCAGTGAATTGATTGTCAGTGGTTGAATGGTATGCGAACCAGCTTGCCTTTTAACCTGAAGATCCTGGGTTCGAACCCCGGCGTGGGTGCGTACTGACGATGATTCCAAAACTAGGCTGACGAAACAGTTGTCCAGTTCTCCAGTGCTGGTTTTCAATGGTTCTCTAACTGACATCAATCCGCGGTTAAACTCATAAAAAAACAAATCTAATCCTTACAGACCAACTATAGAAAATTTAAGAAATTCCTCTTAAATAAGCTAATCAAATTTTAAGGTGGTTTTCCGTGTTTGACTAGTGGAAATAAAACAGCTTTCAGAGATATGACTGATTTACAACAAGACATTTAAGCGAACAATATTGTGCATTCAATTAGATCTCATCAGGCTTAACTCTAATATAATAAGGGTTCTTTTACATTTCCCAGTGAATGAATGAAAAACAAAACGATATTGCTTTTATTGACATTTTGCTGTTTAATGCTCATAGCTTTGTCAAAGTATTATTAAACCGGAATTTACAAAATCTCAGCATATATATAACAACATAATCATCGTTCCTCGGCATGGGGTCATTTTTCGTTGTCACAGTGGCCAATTGGTAAAGATAACAAAACCAGGTGTAGACTGTTGGATTTGATAAGTGAATAAGATTATTAAAAGCAGCGTGTGTTTATATAATGAAATTGCTTATCACATTCGTGTTGATGTTGTCATTTCATGGCGGAAGGGTGTGTTGTGACTAGGTAAAATTCTGTCTTAGTCCATCATTTCTATTCAGACAATTTGGATTCCACTTGATATGAAGTGCTTCTGATGAAATGAGATGTTCCTTGTGATTTCTGAAATGCTTTTTCAAAATTATTTGATTATTGTCAAAATCAATTTTGTGGCCTGATTCTATAACGCGTAGAGCACTACCTATGGCTGGTGATTTTTCAAGCTTTTCTAGTTCAGCTGGATTTCTCAGTGGTGAAACACATGATCTACGGTGTTCATGTTTCCTGATTTTGACTTCTCTATAGAGATGTTTGTCCTATGTATATTGCATCACATTCAAAGCATTTTATTTTATAGACAAAATTAGATAGAGAATCTTTAGGGATTTGGTGTTTTATATGGACAAGGTTGCTTCGCAGTGTGTCTGATGTTTTGAATAAAACTCTAATGTCGACCTTATTGAATACTCTTATGATGATGTCATCTGACGTCTCCGCTCTACATGGAATGACAACTGTTGAGGTCCATGTTTTCGGAACACGTTTTTGATCATACTTAATGTCAGTTTTGATTTTGTTGATGAAGTTGTTTTGGTAGTTATTTTGTTTGAGAGTCTCAGTTATGTTTGATATTTCTTCTGCTTTTTCTTTCTCATCAGTTAACATCAAAGAGTGTGCTCGTCTAAGAAGACTTGAAACAACTGATACCTTTGCACTGGTGGGGTGTGATAATCTGAAGTCTAAATATTTATTGCAGTGGGTTTCCTTCCTGTATACAGATACATCAAAATGTACGTTTTCCGTTCTCTTAACTAGGAAGTCTAGAAATGGTAGTTCACCGACATGTGATTCTGCTTATGCAGTAAACTGGATTCTGGGAGATAGGTTGTTTATTTTCTCCAGGAATGAACTGTGTAGATCTCGTTTTAGCACTACAAAAGTATCGTCTACATATCTTAACCATATTTTAGGAGTGAGTATGCTTGAAAAGATATTATTTTCGAATCTATTCATAAAAAGATCAGCGACTATTGGGGAAACTGGTGAACCCATGGCTGCTTTTAATAATCTTATACACTTATCAAATCTAACAATCTACACTTAGTTTTGTTATCTTTACCATCTGGCCAGCTTAACAACGCAAAAATGACCCCATGCTGAGGAACGATGATGAATTTGTTATATGAGCTGAGATTTTGTAATAATGATACTTTGACAAAGCTATTAGCAGCAGTATTAAATAGCGAAAAAACAACAATATCGTTTTGTTTTTCATTCATTCACTGGGAAATACAAAAAAACCCTTCATTATATTAGAGTTAAGCCTTATGAGATCTAATTGAATGCACAATATTTGTTCGCTTAAATGTCGCGTTCTAAATTTTACCATGGGAATATCTAATACATGATTGATTACAAAGAAAGCCAATTAACATTTCTTCTGAAATTTATTTTTACAACCTTCAAGAAAAAGATACTTTAATTTGGGAAGATTTATTATTCAGAATTTTTTAGAAAAAAAATATTCACAAAATTTGAAAAAAGGCTATTTATAATGATACATTTCGAATAGATTATTTTTCTTTAATTGGATTCTAATTTTAGATTGATAAAATTTGGATTTAGTAGGTATTTCGTCAGATTCCAAAACAAAAACGACCCAACTGATCCAACTGAGGAAAGCAATATAATTGACTGAATACTATGTAGTGACTGTGAGGTCAACTACATAGGTCAGACAAGTAGATCGGGGTCAACTCGATTCTTGCAACAAGGTAAAAGTAATAAAAGTGTAATATGGTTAGGTGGAGAGAGATCCAACACCACAAACGTGCAATCAGAATGACATAACGCCTATACCGAAGATGTGGAAAGTGGCCACAAACATCAAAGGGAAGGCGGAGAGACAGGAAAAGAGGAAATATATATAAAACAAATAGTGAAACCATGTGACTAAAACTGAGATGATTATGAGCAGCAATAATTTATATTCGAGACATTGTCATCCAGTTAGTTTTGAATACTGCATCACTGTGTGTCGTTTTTGAAAATAAACTTATCTAATATGGAATTCCATTCTACCACAGTGCTGGAGCTCTACACATACACTAATGTTTCGTCTTAGTTTGAGATTCCTCATCTGCACGAACCTATGGTCCTATTGCGAATAAGGCTGATGAATAGCGTGTGAGTTCTAACTTCTACCAGGCAGTATCATCAGCGTGCATGTGGTCTCACACCCAACTTAATGGACATCACCTTTCAGAAATTCCCACTAGATAACCTGACTATTTCATTCTGTATTCAGTCATTAGTGAGCATTACAAGCTGGTTCGAACAACATGATGTACTTGAAGTTTTCTAGGGAATTTTGATTAATTTCAGTGTAGATGTCGTCATCAATCGATATCATTCAAGTGGTTGCTCACTGATGATATTGGTTGACAGTAGAGCTACATCAAGAATTCACAGGTGTTAGGATTCATTGGCCATTGTATTCTATCCCAAAGGCTGAATGTTCAACTGGTTGACCCCGAAACCTGTAAGTCCTTAGTTTCATTCCATATGGATCTATAGGTGCGTCCTGATGAATGTTCCTAAAATAGGACGAAATAGCTGATAAGATTGTGAGCAATAGATTGTGCTCTAAGGATCGTCAGCAAGTGACAGTTTGTCACTGTTTGCTTTCATCACATACATTTACTCTACCAGGCATTCTCATTTATACATACTAATATTAACGTAATATAACAAAGATTCACTCCAAAAGTTTAACATATTTGGAGATTCCTTCAAATAACACTTAAAAACATTTTTGTTTCTTTCATAATTCACCCAATTTTTATTTATTTTGTTTTATGTTTTTCAATCTTTATATTATAGCATATTATGTCAACTGTAATCATTTGTTATTGTCTACAAGAATATAAAGCTACAGAGGAGGAGATTTTTGGCAATGAATTAAACTTTATCTTTAGACATGAAAGTTTTAAAGTAAGATATTGAAATTTGTTTGCTGTTTTATTGTTTTGTTTCAAATGGATATTTTTCCTAAAAAAATAGAAATGTAGGCTGGGAAGTGATAGTGTGATGGGACGTAATCAAATCTGACGTAATGATTAAGTATAAACAATTATATTAGAAACCCAATCTATCCAGTATCTGTGGTCATTTATTATTATTGTTCCGAGTAGAGTACAGGGCTTTGACAATACATTCCCACTTTCTTCTACCCTCTTCTGTCCTCTTCGGCTGCCTGGGCACACGATCGCCCATAATCTCTCATCTTTTCCTTCTCCTCATACGATCTCCTCCATGTCACCATCGCACCGACGATCCACTAGTCGCTTCCGGTTAGGATTCAACTCGAGCGACGGTCTGCATTGCACTTGATGTCATTCCTCAAAGTATGACCAATTCATCTCCATTTTCTTCTACATATTTACTGAGCAATCGGCTTTTGGTTGATTTTTTGCCAGCCAGAGTTTCTTGTTGCTAATTCTTACAGACCGGTTGACCATTAGATAGTCAGTATGGAGCCAGTGAAGGCAGTTATTGCTAAAAGTCCTCAGTAGCCAATTGGAAATGCTTTCGTGATGCGCCAAGTTTCCGACCAGTATAGAAGAATTGGCTGACTTAATATTTGTGCTGAAAATCCGGGTCTTATTTTTTATGCCGCGGAGAGCAGAAGGTTTCCAAACAGGTTTCATATTAATGAAGGTGTATCTTGCCTTTCCGATTCTGATTGGATTTGCCATCTTCCGTTCTGCTTATGGTTAGAACGATGTTTCCTATGGACATTACTATCCTCTATTTACGCTACTGTTAATTGTAGATACAATTTATCGCTTCAGATAGAAATAGTCAATCAACAGACGTTTGCGCTTCTACTTCAGGATCCTACAGTACTTGAAGTGTGTGACGCAGTTCAATGCATCCAGTGGCCTACCTGTAAAACATCTGGTCGAAGGATGTTCAAAGATCTACATACTGTAATACCATAGTACTCAAATCGCAGTTTAAATTTATTTGGTAATAATCCAGAATTACAAAGTGTGTGACAAATATGACGATCACTCTGTTTTTCAAAGGCCTTTTTTCTATAGGCATAAGGTGACATTCTCATTACTATGTCGATATGTATTTATTCCACATTACATTTCGTCTGTTAAAATTTATATCACCATAATACGAACTATTGGTTGACATATGCGTCGAGTGGCTCAGTAATAGGATACTAACCGTCCGTACATGTGGTCTGGGTTTCGATTCTATGCCGGCGCACAACTTAACCTCTTCCAGCCGGTTGTAAGTCCAACAAAGATATGGGAAATTAAGCGTGATGCTAGGAACCCTACTGCCGTAAGAAGCATTCTTACTGGAAATTCAGACTTCAAGCATGAAGCCCTATATTCCACTCGGAGTGTAAAGGAATAAAAAAAAGAATTGGTTGACATGAGTTGACTCCAACACTCATCTCAATCAACCAGTGGCGTAAACTACCGTTCAGTTTTGTTCATTTTCTTGGTTACCTATCGTAAGATCAGGCAAATCAAATATTGCAATGAATTTTGTTTTGAATTACCACTTTAAAATGTGTGATTTGAGACACTTGTATCCGATTCTTTGCATCACTTGTCCGCCAAAATAGCTATCGGGAATTTGAATGGTTTGAGATGGCTGACTTTACTGTTCTGAGTTAAAGTGGGTACATAGACGATGAGGTCTGCTCAAAGCCAGAGAAAGTGATGACCAATGTTTTCGAACCGACTGATTATCCTTATCACACACTACTGCTTGACCTAGGTGATTTTTAACTACGCATATTGATCAGAAGTACATATTATTATTTCTCGAAGTCTACAGGAGAACACAGGGCTTCAACAGCACATCTTCATTTCATTTCTTCTTCTAATGTCCATTTTAACCGGTTGCACAAGTGCCCATTGGTTTCCTCTCCACCTGAGGTGTTCTCCTGCAGTATATCCTTGAAAACCGGTTCTTTATTTCCCATCTACGTTCATTTCGAGGACTAGGTGTTCGATTTAACTCATAAGTCTCCTCGGCGTCTATCCAATCCATTTCTATTTCCTCTCGCATATTTGTTGGGCGACAAGTTCTTGGTTACTTAGCTTCAACAACTATTTTTTGCTTATCCTGATGTGCTTTAAGTCTCTGGACCATATGTTAAAAATTCGGACAATAATCCTTAGTCGAAAAGTGCACACACTAATTTCAGATTACTGAAAAATCGTCTTGCTTTTTCGATTTGGCTTTGATATCCCCGTTCCTGGCATCGCAAGGGTGCTGTCTAGGTATATGAAAGTGGTGACTTGCTTTAGATTCCCGACGTTGTTGATGATTCACCTTTTTCATTGTTGATGATTGTCTGGTATTTTGATCTTCTCTGTCTTCTCCACCTTCTCCTAATGTTCCTTTTTCGATATTTGTTCTACTGAATTGTTAGTTTTCGTCTAGTTTACTTGTGCCTTTATTTTCTAACTAGTCTCAGTGCCAGGAAAAGAGGGAACAGTGAGAATAGGTCTAGCGGTCAGATTTAGAATAGTCAATTCAATCTATGAGGAAACATCAAAGCACAGAGAGCATCAACAGCACATACCATTATGTAATAAAACTTGATTTTTCTTGTTGGTACGGCAGTATTATAACTATGAAAACCCTTTTACTTCTCAGTAAACATGTAAGCTACAATACACTGAACAAAGGAGTAAAGAAGAGTGCCAGAGAAGACAAAAGAAAGTATTATGAAGCCATGGCCAATGAAGCAGAACAAGCTGCAGGCAAAGGAGACCTCGCAACACTTCACCAAACAACTAGGTACCTTTCAGGCAAAAACTCGTCACAAATTAAGCCAGTGAAGGATGAAAATGGAAAGTCAATCACCAAAGAAGTGGAGCAAAGGAAACACTGGGCTGAACACTTCAAAAGACTACTAAACCGACCGCCACCTACAACGCGCCCAACAATACCAACAACGGAAGCAGAATTACCAGTGAACATCAACCCCCCGACGAAATCAGAAGTCCTGAAGGCAATCAAGATGCTGAAAGCTGGGAAAGCAGCAGGACCAGATGGAATCCCAGCAGAAGCATTGAAAGTCGACCCAGAGACAACAGCAGACCTGATGACGCCACTACTTGAGAAAGTGTGGAAAGAAGGCAAAGTACCCGAGGATTGGAAGAAAGGATACCTATTCAAACTACCAAAGAAAGGAGACTTAAGTCAATGCAAGAACTGGCGCGGAATTATGCTCCTTTCCATCCCAAGCAAAATACTAAGCCGCATCATCCTGGAAAGGATCAAACAAGCCTTGGATGAAAAACTTCGACCAGAACAAGCTGGATTCAGGAGTAACAAGTCATGTATTGATCAAATCGCCACACTACGGATCATCATTGAACAAAGTTTGGAATGGCAGTCACCTCTCTATCTCAACTTCATCGACTTTGAAAAGGCCTTCGACAGCGTCGATCGAGAGGTGATTTGGCAACTACTTCGCTACTACGGGGTGCCGCCGACAATTATACATCTCATCCAACAGTTGTATGACAACGCTGCATGCCAAGTAATCCACAACGGGAAGCTCACGGAATCCTTCGAAGTGAGGACAGGAGTAAGACAAGGCTGCCTACTATCGCCAATGATTTTCCTGATTGCAGTAGACTGGATAATGCGACAAACAGCGGGCAATGAGGAAACAGGCATAAAATGGACTCACACAAAGAACTTGGAGGATCTGGACTTCGCCGATGATATATGCCTGATTTCCCACAAACTGGAAGATATGCAAGTGAAAAGTAACAAGTTGGCAGAAGAAGCATCAAAGATAGGACTCCAGGTGAACATAGAGAAGACAGAGGTGATGAAGATCCCTGGCCAACACCAACAACAACAACAGACAGCAATCAGCATAAATGGAAAAAACCTGAAAGAAACTACCTCCTTTACCTACTTGGGAAGCATTGTTTCAACTACAGGCGGAACTGACGAGGATATCAAAGCAAGGATCGGGAAAGCAAGGCAAGCTTTCATTACTCTGAAGTCTGTGTGGAGGACAACATCATTCAGCGTCAAAAATAAGATCGGGATTTTCAACTCCAATGTGAAGTCAGTACTACTATACGGATCAGAGACTTGGCGTGTCACAAAGAGCACCTCAAACAAGCTACAGACCTTCATTAATAGATGTCTTCGCTCAATACTCAAGATCAGATGGCCGGAAAGGATCAGCAACAAAGATCTCTGGGAGCGAACCAACCAGGAACCCATTGTGAAACAAATAGGCAGGAAAAAATGGAGATGGATTGGCCACACTCTGAGGAAACCAGCAAGTGACATCACTAGACAAGCCCTCGAGTGGAACCCGAAAGGGAAGCGGCGAGTTGGTCGTCCAAGGGTGACCTGGAGGAGATCATGTGAAGAGGAGATGAAAGCATGTGGGCAGACCTGGAGCCAGGTGAAAACTCTAGCAGAGAATCGAACGCAATGGAGACGCATGGCTGAAGCCCTATGTTCCTCTAGGAACTAAAGGAAATAATAATAATAATAATAATAAACATCCATATTTTCGTTTCACTTTTCATTATAGTATAACAATTTAGTATAATTGTTGACTGATACAATTCTTGGCATATTAGACTGTATTATAAAGTATACTAGACGGCTGAAGAAAATTTTTTGAAGCCCTATATCTGCTTTACGTGCACACTGACACCCATAATTGAGGTCAGAACAGTTCAGTGGTAATGTCTGAAAGTACAGTGCTGTGTGAGAGCAATTTCCGGCCTCAATTAGGAAATCATAAATAAGGACAAGACATCATAAAAGGCAGTTGTTATAATGGAAGCAATACACCTACACCTAACCATTAGTTTAGAGTGAACCACAATAGCCAGCTACCCACTTTGGTTACCATATTGCAAACTTGACTGAAAGAATTCGGCCTGTATCAACACCGAGGACTACATACAACA